TCTTCACAAATAAAGTCGCATCAGTTTGGTGTAACTCTCTGCTGATAGAAGCTTTAAAATCTAACTTCTGAAATGGCACCCGACCAGGTATCGATTCCAGGTGAATATACGAATTGGAAAAATCAATCAACTACCGCAAATACTGAGGGATTCGATACTCAATATTTCCAACGAAAAACTTGTTAGCGCTAGAAACCAATTAATTGGGACAGCCAATACATGGGAAAAGAGGTTACTAAAAATCTTATTCAGCTGCTGATAGAGGGTATGAACGCAGCACTATATCATACCCTAATAGACATATGACCAAAGTTCACTGGTAATAACCAGCAGCCGCATTAACGAAACTCATTATTATACCAGTTGCCATAACAGCCGCGCATCCGTTGCGCCTTTTTCTCATCTTTCGGCATAGGCACTGCTGACGCGATTAGAACTGAGTTAGAAACAGCGTACCAGTCGTTTTTAACCAAATTCTTCTCCACCTGATCGAAGTGGAGGTCTCCCACTATCTCCACTTACTGCATCGAAAACACTCAGAGCTGCATCGTTAGCTGCGATGGTTGCCGTAGCCGATCGCAAAACTGTTCTCTGGATCTCTGTTCCAAATTTACGCTTCTGCTCAATAAAGTATTAACTTGCCTACAGTGCCGCGGTAGATATTTTTTTACCCATCCTCTAACAGATCCATTTGCGATGCTTCCTTATCCGGTCTAGAGAAAGCATAACTAATGGCGTTTTGAGAAGGTGCAATCTCTATTGAGTTCTGCGACTCTCATTGTTTTCTCCAGCTTGTTTGTTTGGAGCCTCGTTTGGTATTGGACGGCTCAGAGAGATTATTCTCAAACCTTGAATAGTTTCTTGTATTGCTCAGAGTTGATAACGTTTTTTGGAGATACCAAACTCAGCCATATCTACAATACATAAAAGTACCTTATTTTCATGCTGTTGAAGACAGCTGCACCTTGTAATCGGAAAAATTCACATTTCGTACTTGAAAGTGATGAACTCTATCCGTCTTTGGGAGAACTACTATAGCGGAACCAAATACCTTCGTAGAAGCTTTGGGAAACTCACGCAATGTAATACAATTGAACCATAATTCACCAAGCGAACTTGAATCCATCAGCCCACACAGTAGACTTTCGAAAAACCAAAGTCCCTTCCCTCGCTGCATGCAATTGTTCGACAATATTCAAAGCATAAGCGAGCTTTTATACCTGGCAGAAGGCTTCGAGCTACAAAAGGCGAAACCGCCGCACAGCTAACAACGAAGCAAATATTAACTGAATCGTCACGATTGCCGTAATACCGCTAGATTACTTTGTTGATGTTGTAGACATGAAGGAATTACGGGTGCGGTGCGACGGAAGAGTTAAATTAATTTTTCGCCGAAGCCCAGAACTAATCTTCCGATCATAAGACCAGAGCACAGAAACATAGCCACAACAAAGCCTAATAAATCCGATTAAAATTGAAGGGCATTTCTGTAGTTATCATCAAGAGTAAAGGTCCTTACAGTAACGGCTACTGCGGCTACTCCCCACTCACTTAAATTCAATATTTCTCCAAGATGTGGGTAATTTAAGATTACACCCCTGCTTATATATATAACTGAGGGCTGAGGGGTCTCCTAGTGGATCAAAGAGTCACTGATATGCCCCACCCGAGGAGAAAATATGAGACAGGATGCTAAGACTTGCTCTGCAAGTATTTCTATTCCGTTTAAATATGAAAATATTTTCGATGTCTACAGGACCAAGATGATTTTCCATTTCTCAATACTCAAAAGCAGAGTTGCTACGTTCATCAAACTGAAAGAATATAAAAATAATTTCCAGTAGCCAAAATTTCGAAATATTCTTGGTGTTGGCGCACACGCCGGCCAAGCCTTTCCGTTGAGGAAAACTATACATAAACTTTTGTGTATTTAAATATATATTTTTCTTTTTATTTATTTCATTTCAGCCAATTTCTATAAATGTAAATAGTTTTGTACATAGTATTTAATTATTAATAATGTATATGTATTGTTTATAGTATAAACACAATCGTAATAAACACTGCAATTAATGTTGTTATTACTACAACAGGTTTTTCTACAATTTGTTGTTATTGTATTTTGCTTGGTATAATTTCTTTGCAACTTCGAGACTTCTACGTACACTAAGTTTTTTTATCTGTTTAATTATTTTTCTTTTTTAATTTGCTTGTTCTCGTCAATTTACCCGTACATATCAAAAGGAAATACTAAAATGAAAAATATAAATTAAATAAATTATAACAAAACGAAATAAAATAATATAAAATAAATTAAAATAAAATTAAATATTTTAAATAAAATAAAATTTTATATTACAACAAAATAAACTCAGAGTAAAAAAAAATCAGATAAATGAAATAAATTCAAATGAAGTATAATTTATTAATTTTATTAATTTAAATCAAACAAAAAATTAAATTAAAATAATTTTCAAAAAAAATTGTAAAAAAAAAATCAAATGAAATAAAAAATATAGCAAAAACAAGTAAAATAAAGCAAAATAAAATATTATAAAATAATTATTTAATAAATAACATAAATTTTAATTAAAATATCTTAAATCACATAAAAAATATGTTATTTAAAATTAAATCATTTTAAAAAAGTTGAACAAAATAAAACACACTTAAACAAATAAAAGAAATTATACATTCATTAAAATAAAATAAAATTAATTAAAAAATATAAATAATATTAGTTGAAAAAATTTAAACTAAATTAATATTAATGGCAAATATTAATAATAAAAAAAACATAAAACAAAAAAATAAAAAATAAAACTAGATATATGAAAAATAAAATAAAATAATATAAATTCAAATAAATCACAAGAAATAAAATAAGAAAAAACAAAACAATATAGCATAAAATAAAACAAAATATAGTACAATATAATACAAAATATAATTAAATTAAATAAAATTAAATTAAAATAAATATAACGAAACCAAATAAAATTAATTAATATAAACAAATTATTTAATACCTAAAATAAAATTAGTTTTCATTAATTAATGAAATTAAACTTAAAAAAAATAAAAAATAATAAAGTGAATTAAAAAATATAAATCAAAATAATGCTAATTAAAAATATACATATATAAAAATAACAGGTGTAAATGAATCGCTCTCATTATATATTTTTAGAATTTGTTTATATTTTTTTTTTTTAAATAAACGCATAAATTTAATGTACATAATTATATTCGTATAACATCTAAGAATACTAAACGTATGATTTTCATTTTAATTACTAAATTTTTGTTATTAATTTGCTTAGGAATATATTTGGTTGCCAATATCTTTTATATACATATATATATAAATGTATATATATATTTTTTTTTAGTCTCTGTATATTGACTAGGAATACGTGTTTCTTTTTTTATTTTTTTATTTAATTATTTGTTTTTTTTTTTTTCTTTGATGTCTAGGACTTAAGGGTTAAATGCCTGAGCTGTATGGTTTGTTTTCTTTCTGTACCTCGACGAACACAGGCGGCTTTTTAAGTTCATATTTCAAGTACAATATATAATTTCTGTTTTTAATACATAAGTTGTGAGTATACGAGTATATGTAGCTATTCAATAACATCTATATAGAAATCACATTTGCGAAATCGACTTGATTTGAGAGTTTTTCGAGAGAATGCAATGCATTAGATGCACACTTTTTTAGTATGTAAATACTTTTCCCAACTCTTATTATGTTTAATTTTTGGTATAAATATTTTTCTTTTACTACAAAAATTGTAAAATATTTCTTTATTGATTTTATTTCAGTGTTTGTAGTAAAGAGAATAATTTCAAACAGCCTCAATTGGAGTTTATAAATACTACTTTTTTGTTACGGTCCATCAAACAATATTATATTTTTCTTTAATACAGCAATTTTAAATATTAAAAAATTTGTATACAATATATAAGAGTTTTTTTTCAATTTTTTTAATTTTTATATTTTAATATATTTTTTTTGTTGCTAATTTTTCGTTATACATATGCTTGCATTTATGAAACCTGAGTTTGAAACAAATCTATATTCAAAAAAAAAGACAGAATTTAATAAACAATAAAAAAAAATTTAAAAGCAGATTTTAAATTGAAAAATTAATATTTTAAAGGTAAACTTATTTTCTTTTTTTTTAAGTCTGATCAAAAGGTGGTGAAAATTTTATTACAAAAAAAAATGTATAATTAACATCATAAAATCATTTCAAATTGCGCATATATTTACTGAAATTTGAGAATCAATAAACCTTGTATTACTCCCTCTTCTTAACTTCTTTATAAAACACACAAAACCTGTCAACATTTTCAAAATTTCCATGAATTTCTTTGTTTTGAGCAATTATTTTTCGAGTTGCTTCTTACAGAATATACTTTTTGAAATAAAAGTTTAAATGGTCAAGTTTTTACCAAAATTTTCCAAGGAAATATTTCAATATAATTGTTTCCCTTTTAGGATAACAGTATGCCCCTTATTTTCTTATAAACTTTTCTTTTAATATTTAATGCATCTGTTTTATTTTATTTATTTTTTATTATTAAATTCAGTATTTTACGAAATTTCGAGGTAAAAGATTTCGCTTTGATAAAAACTCAAAAAATTCAAATATGTATATACATTTATACATTTTTTAATTATTAAAATCATAAAATTATATATTTTCAAAAAATTAATATATAATCAATTTAAAATCAAAACAGCATTAAATATTTTTTTTTATAAATAAAAAATATTTAAACATGTAAACAACCTTTTTTTAATTAGGAAATGTATAAAAAAAAATGTAAAAAAAAAATATTTATTTCCTTTCATTTTAAATAACTTTATTTTGAGTAAAAAGTAAAAAATATGAAGTTGTAAAAAATATTCCAAATATGTAATAGAGCTTGAAAAAAATCCCCATAATTATTATTTATCACCTATATAGTTCAGCAATTTTTTTTTTTTTGCCCTCATATAGAAGTTTGCAATTTCATAAATCACAAGCATACATTTATAATCTATAAGTGCATTTCTTTACCGTAAGGTAAATTTTTTTCTCCATTTTTTTAACAATTACATATTTAAAGTAGTATCTACATATATATTTATTTGTTTATTCAGCTAATGCAACTCGCAAATGCGACTCTATAGTATTTTTTACCTCTCGCCTATAATATTTTACAATAAATTCTTGTGCAATTGGTATTTGAATATGACTTATTGTCGATATGACCTGTATTGAATTAATTTTTTATTGTTGTTTTAATCGCCACGATTTTCTTCGCACTTCCTATCGATACAAAATGTAATCGCCGAGTTCTTAACTTCTCAATGCAGAGCTCTCAATAGAGTTGCACTTGCTGTGGCATACTCATCGCCGCCTTCGTTCCTTCTATCTTTCGTTCGTTCCACTGCTGCCTAAGCATGTTGCAAACGCATTCGCAAAAACTAAAAACCAATTTTTTTTGCGCGCTTCTCGTTGCCTTCCACGCGCCATCCACAGCCTAATTGGCCACCTCTAGTGCGGCCAAACTTTCCAAATCAGAATCGAAATTTGTATCACAAGTGGAAAGCCACTCAATAACACGCCTACGCACCACAGTCTGATCGATAGAATTATCCAAACCATATGTGGACATCATACGTTTCAGTTTCAATTTGTTCTCATCTGCAGATAGACGACCTTCGCGTTTGTTTAGGTAGATACACGAATCCTGATCGGGATTCGGCGAGATAAGCATTGCTGATTTCGATGTCGCAATACGGCATTCAACCCAACGATCTTTCATGTATTTAGTGACTTCGGTTACTTTGCAGCGATCTTCGGGATCGTGTGTTAAATACTTACGGAAGCAACGCATTAAACGCGGCGAAAAGCGTCGGAAATTGTCGGGTATTTTTGTGGTTTTACGCTCTTCATACTTCATAAAACTGGCATATTGAGCGTCCTTCACCCAATCTGCCATATGCCATGGCGGACTGCCGGTCAAAATGTTATAGAGTAAAATACCGAATTGCCATGAATCGCTGGCCGGCATGCAGGTGAAGCGTTCATTTTTTACAATCTCCAGCACTTCAGGCGGCACACAACTAGTCCACGTGTGCTTCACCTTGTGTACCAGCAAACTCTTCTTGGTGGTCGTGCCGAAATCACATAATTTAATGCGCGAAAAGTCCGGTGTGAAGACCAAAACATTCTCCAACTTTAAATCACGATGTACCAAATTCTTGGAATGCATAAAACCCAACGCCGAACTCAACTGTTCACTGATCGTCTTGCAGGCCGACTCGTGCAGCCCGTGTTGCCCCAAATTTGCCGCCAAATCACCAAAAGGCGCATGTTCCATTGCAAACACATAGTAATCTTTAGTTTGGAACGCCACATTGTATGCGCTCAATATATTACGATGATGTGATAGTTGATAGTTTAGATGAAATTCCTTTTGGAAATCTTTCAGTGTCGCCAATTCTGCATGTACGGCCTTCAATACCACCGTCGTATTGGTGGGCCGATGATAGGCGAGGAGTATGCGTGCAAAGCAACCCTCAGCCAATGTCTTCTCAATATCATACTGATCGGAGAATGTCATCAGGGGTAATTCAATATCCGGCACGATGTGTATAATACCGCTATCATCCTTGTCCGGCTTCTTGTAGATGCTACTGCGGCGGCTAACTGAGACGCTCAAACTCGGCACCTCCAACCTTGCGCTGGTCACAGGTGATAAGAGGGAATTGTTGTTCGTGCATGTGCTGCTGTTATTGTTGCTGTTTCGGCTGTTCGTGCTGCCGCCATCGCCGATCGAACGTCGCAATCGGAAAGAGAATGAGCGTTTCTCTGTAAATTAAAAAAGAGAAAAAACGATTATTAAATTTCGACGAAAATAATATGCGTAGATGAAGAGCGTACAAAGCAAGAAGATTTAGATTTTTATTATTAATTAAATGAAGATATATTTTTATGCAAAAAGAATATCTCAAATACTCTTTTATATATATTTTTATATACTCGTACATATATAATTTATATATATAATTTTTGCTTGTTCTTTCATTAATTTTCCTGTAGTATTGTCTATTTTTAAATCTACTCTTGGTCATCGTAGTTGTTGTCATCAATATTTTTAGAAAAAATTAAAAATAATAAAAAATATAAATAAGAATATGTATGGCATAATGTTTGAAAAAGAAAGTATAAACGTGAAAGGACAAGCGATTGAGCGAAAATTTTCCACAAATTTATTTCTAACAAATTTTCTTTGCCATTTTTTGGACTTTAACTTTTAAAAATATTGAAGGTCTCAATAACTTTCGATAACTTCAGACCATCTGTCTTTACTTATACTTTGTTAGTTAGTGATCGATCGCAACCCTGATCAAGCCAATTTAGGAATGCTGCCCTGCTGTGATACTTAAATTGGCCACGTGAAGGATATTCGCCTCACTTTTCCAGATTTATGATGTTTAGAAGATGATTGATGCTTAGAAATGTAAGCTCTGCATGGCCATCAAAAGAGGAATTATAGCTGCGACAGAAGTCCCGAGAGAAGAAATCCATCATTTTGCGCGGGTATTATGCTTACGTAGGTCCTATTTAGAAAGAATATAATCTATCTTCTATCTATGGTCATAGAGTTTACCAATTAATCTACTTAATGAAATTCAGAAGATAATTGATGCCTATTAATGTTAGCTCTACACGACAAACGAACTATTGTAGAAATTACCGAAAAAACTATAACGAGCCGAGCAGAAGCCTGGACACTGGTATAGATAAAGTTCTACGTATTAGTGTTTAGAGAATCAGCCCATCCTTCTTTGAACAACAGCCTGACTAGTTTGCTTACAATGCCGATGAGAAACCTGATGTGCAGAGTTTACCAATTGGTGTGCTTTAAAAAGCTCAGGAGACTGTCGATGTCTACAAGCAAGCAAGCTCTTTAACGAAAATCGAAGAAGAAGTTATCGAGAGAACAATAACGGGCCGCGCTGAAGGCTGGGTAGTGATACAGGAAATCCTCTACCAATTCATACACAGCAGTGGCAGAAGTGCTTAGAGAAGCAGCCCATACTTCTACCCTGAGTCGTCATAAGGCAATCCCCTGTTAGTACGCCGATCGTTAGGCTTATGAAGGCCCTCTTTAGAAGGATTAAAGACTTCGATCTCTTATTCATTCAATCAATGACCATACCAACTGACCCTTCAACCAGCTCTTCTATCTGTCAGTTCCCTGGGATCCAATTCACTCAAAAGAAGCCAAAAAGAGGACGTTGCAAATACAGTTGATTACTTAAAATTTCCCTGCAAGTTATTGCCATCTTTAAAGTGGAGTTCAGGCAGCTAGGTTGGGATACCATTTGGAATTTCAGTAACCATGAAGCTGCTTTCATTATTGTGGCTGATTCCGCTTGAGAGACGCTGCTTACACTTAAGCTGAAGTAAGATATTTATGTATAAGGGCCATTAAATTAGTTGCCTCTTACGACATGCATGTCTTATAGCGGTAGAAATCTTGAAGAATGAGAAGCTCTAGTAGACATAACGAATATATATTTTTTTTTTAGCGAAATTTCATTTTCTATGCATTTAAAAACAACGCAATGAAATTCGCACAAAGTAACAACGCAATATTCTTTTACGACGATGAAAAGACAAAATGATTGATGGAGTGCATAAAAAATGCGCAAGACCAATTAATTGAGGCACCCATATACTCGAAAATATACATAATGTAAGTCTCTTTATATGTTTTGAAATATTGTTTTTATCTATATAATATTTTTGCACGGTAATAGAGTGCACAAGATGTATACTATATTTATAGAATAAAATTAAAAAAAAAAATTAAAAAACAAATTTATTATAGACAACTAAGAGCATTCATTAGCTCAGCATATAACATGGTAACACAAAAGTTTAAAAAGCTGACACAAAAGTCTCATAAAACCGCAAAAAATTTTATATATTTTTTTACATACATATATTTTTTTTCGTACGCATGCATACGCCTTTGCAACTCATCATTGACGTAGAACTGCTCAGCGCCTCCGCCCATTTTCACATCTTGAAAGAGCAACCAACCACTTTGGCATTGACCCGCCCGCCGACAGACTATTAAATAGTGTTTGTATAAGTGTGAATTTCTATGCGTCAAGCCTTCCAAAATTTTCAAAAAAAGAAATTTGTTTCGATTTTGTTTCATTTTCATTATTTGTAATTAGTATTATTTCTCTTTTTTAATACAGTATATAAATATTTTCTTTTCTAAAATTTTTTCTTCATAATCATAATACTAAAATGCACGTGTGGAAAAGCTATTTTTTTGCAAACAAAGCATGTTTATTTTTAGCAATAATCAACGCTAATATATATAATATGCAATCTAATACATATATAAGAATATACACACATATATATATATATATATGCGTTTGTAACAAATTTGTTTATTATTATAACAGCAAGTCTTCCGTTGTATGCAATTTATTTCCGTGTTGTTGCTGAAGTAATCAAAATGAAAACATCAAATGGAATACATAGAAAACTCGCTGGCCTCACCATCTTACAGTGCGTATAATGGCAAGAGTTGCCAGAAATTATTTAGAAAATCAGTGTAGGTATTTTATAAAAAATTACTATAAGTTAAGGAAATCAAAAAAGAAAATTAAATTAAGTTTTAACTAACTCATTTGAAAGCAAATAAATATGGAAAAAAAACGTTTAACGATTTAAACACTTCGAAAAGAAACATTTGATTAGTTTTCCTTGATTTATTTCAGGCGCTTAGCATGTATTCACAGACATAATTAATTTCAGCAATATTTTTTATATACTTGTAGCCCGCTCACGCTTGTTAAATAGAAAAATTAGATGGAATAAAATAAAAGGAGAACAAATTAAAATAATCTCAATTAAAATTATTTAAATTTATGAAACATGGGCAATAAGATTAAAAAAATATATAAAATAACATAAGTTAAATAAAAACCGAAACTACATTAACATGCACTAAAACAAAAAAAATTACAATAAAAGGATTAAAAATAAATTAATTAAATGTAATCAACTACAATTAATACAATAAAAATATGAAACACAACAAATTAAAATAACTAAAATAAAATTAAATTTAAAAGCTTTACTGAAACATAATATTATAAGAAAAAGAAATATAAAAATATTAAAAGTCAAGTAATAACAAAAATGGCAACAAAGTTATAAAAAAGTATATATAAAAAATGTTATAAAATATTAATCGAAACAATGAAATAAAAAAGGATAAATAAAGTATTAAATGAGCCGTTTATTTTAAAAGTAGTTCAAGCCCATTTTTTCTCATATTGAGATATTTAAGGATTTGAGTTTCAATTTTTTAAAAATGTATACATACAAATGTATTATATTGCATAATATAAATAAACAAGACCCAATCATAAGATAATTAAATAAAATCATAATAAAAACATCAAATAAAATTAAGAAAAATATTTAATAATTAAAAATAAAAATAAAAAAATAAATAAATAAAATAACAAAATGAGAACTTAAAAACTATTCTATTGTCTTTTTGTTTTAATTAATTTAATTTTTTTATTTTGTTTATATCATTATATTCTAATTATTATATATATATATATATTTTTTTTTGTTATTTAAATTTCTATTTTTTGTTTTAATTATTAACATAAAATAAAATGAGTATACTAAAAGAAACTAAAATGAAATTAAATACAATAATTCAGAAGAAATATATTGAGAAATAAATAAAATATAATAAAAAGGCAAGAAATAAAAAGAAATCATATATTTCAATCTAAAACTTTTAAAGTAAAATAAATATCTATAAAGCAATAAAAATGCTTTTATAAAATACTAATATATAAAACAAAAAAAGGTTAATAAAATATTCTATAAAAGAATTAAAAATAAAAAATATTAACAAAAAGAAAAATAAACAAAATGAAAAAAGAAATAAGATAATCACATTAATTTAAATAAAACAATGTAAAAAATAAAAGATTAAAATACCTAAAATAAAAAAATTAATTTTGTTAAATAAAACAAAATATAATTAAGAGAAAAAAAATATATAAAAAATATATAACATGATGGAAAATTAAATAAAATAACATAAATAATATATTTAAATATTAAACAAAATAAGGCATAATACAAAATGAGACAAAAAAATTAATATATAAAAATAAAATGTATTTTACTACTATAATAATATTATAGTTTACAAAATTAAAAGCAAATTAATTAAAACAATGTAAAACAAACAACAACAAGTAACATTTCAATTGAAATTTATTTAATAAAACGGTAGTTAAAATATTAATATTAAATATAAAAATATAAGAGAATATATAAAAAAAATTAAATTTTCAATTAAGTAAACTACATCAAATTTTAATAAAATAAATAAATATAAAGTAAAACTTAAAAAAAAAAATATTTAATCAAAATAAAAGTATATTAAAAATATAAATTAAAGCTATTGAATCAAATAAATTAAATCAAATGCAAAATAAAATAAATTTAACTTATGTTAATATGAAAAAAATTATTAAAATTAAAAATATATGTATGCATAAATTTATATATAAAAAAATAAAAATAACAAACATAAATTAAGCTTGAGTTGATAACAACATAATTTAAGATAGTAAAAAAAAAAACAAAATTAAAGTAAACCAAATCTATAATTAAATAAAATTAATTAAACTAAATTAAAACAAGTGAAGTCAATTTAAATAAAGTCAATTTCTAAATTTAATAATAGACAATTAAATCAAATATATAAATTGAAGTGAAATAAAGTAAAGTGAAAATGA